CGCCATGGTGAAATCCACCTGCGCGGTCCTACAGTCTTCCGCGAATACTGGAACAACCCGGAAGCAACAGCGAAAGAGTTCGTAGATGATGCAGACGGTCAGGGGAAGTGGTTCAAGACGGGAGACGTCGCAGTGCGTAGATACGTCGACGGAACAGGCAAATCGGACCAAGACTGGGCCACGGGACCGCTTTACTTCATCCAGGGCCGCAAATCCGCCGACATCATCAAGACCGGAGGCGAGAAAGTATCCGCACTGGAAATCGAGCGCGAAATGCTGTCCCTGTCCCAAGTCTCTGAAGTTGCTGTTGTCGGCCTTCCGTCCGAAGCCTGGGGCCAGAAGGTTGCTGCGGTTGTGGTGCTCTCGGAAGCGGGCATGACGGCTGGTCGCGGAGGGAAGCCGTGGAGTGCGTTGGATATGCGGAAAGCGCTGAAGGAGATTCTTGCTAATTACAAGATCCCGCAGGAGATGCGCGTGGTGGAGAGTATTCCGCGGAATGCTATGGGCAAGATTAATAAGAAGCAGTTGGTGAACCAGGTTTGGGGTGAGGCGCTGGAGACGGTGAAGGGTGTGAATGGGAGTGTTACTGGAGCGGTGGCGCTTCCGACTGGGAGTGTTTGACTGTGCTGTAATAACACGACTTTTGGATAGAGGCTGAGACTAGGCTGTAGAATAATGATAGATTTTTACCGAATAATAAACACGATGCGGGATTCAACTCCGGATGTCGCTACTACAGCGCCTGTATCGTCCCAAGTCTCATGATCCAATACACCCCTGAATACAACAATCGGAGCTATCCATATCAACTCCCCGTCCTAGGACATGCCCACCGGGCCGCCCTAAACGCCGCAAAACCTCATGCGCATCGACGCCGGTATCCAATCGTCCCTAGATATCAACAGCTGGAAAAAGACGCCTCACCACCACCGCCTCGCATTCCGCCCCGTCGTCGCACACTGCAGACAATGCCTCGAACTCGCCACCACCGCACACGTTCCACACACCTGCTTCCCACACCCATTGCACGCGAACTGGCCACCCTGCCCCCCGCCCACGCCCCCGCTGCCAGCTACATGCATATCCATATCCATGTCGATGTCCATGCTGTCGCCGTCTTCGCGGAGGGGCGCCTCGCAGTCCTCGCAGCGTGGCGCGGTAGTAGAGATGTGGCGGTCGAGTAAGATGGGGACGGCGGGGGCTTGCACGGGGGGCGCGGGGAGGTTCCAGAAGGAGTGTAGGGTGGACTTTTGCACTTTTGGCTGTGGTGGGGGTGGAGATGGGGGGGCGAGGAGGATGGGTTGTGGGTGGGTGCGTTGCGCGGAGAAGAGCTTGTTGATTGTGTGCTCTGCGGGGACGTTCGTTAGTCTCTTGAGTCAAAGAGAGAGAGAACAAGGAGATAGGATACATACCATGCACTTCACGCTCATCCGGCCGGTTGTCGCGCACCCGCTTACGCGTCCGACAGCCCAAGTCGCTGCTTTTGACGCGTCGCGCATCGCCGAGTGACCACGGGGTGGTGCGGCGATGGAAGGGGAAGGCGTCTGGGGTGTGCAGGTTATGGGAGGGCAGGGACGCGGGCGATTGCGCTTCGGGGGTGCTGAAGCTGGAGGTGCTGAGGGGGGAGAAGTCGGCGGTGGAGCGCTTGCGTTTGTGGGCCATGGTGGAGGATGTGGTTTATATTGATGGGTGTAATGGATGCGAGGGATATCGGTATGCGGTGCTGTGGTAGATATGTTCGCGGTGAACGATGGGTGGATATTTAGACTGTGGAGGAAGATGGTGGAGTGGAGGCGGGAGTGAGATGGGATGGGATGGGATGGCTGGAGCTGGCCACGACGCGATGATCGCCAGACGCGCTTTGGCGCGTTGTGGGGTATCAGCTGGACGGGGGCATCGCATCTGGTCCACCACCATCGTTTTGACCTTCTTCAACACCTCTCCTTCCCAGTCTGGTCATTGTAGTCGCCATGGAGTTCTTCCGGCTTGCATCTGCCACATACTGCAGGAAAGCTTCGTACCGCCAAAGCAAGAGCATCCACGCACCATGCAGTGCATAGAACTGGCTGAGCGATGGCGCTGCAACGACGCCATGGAACGTTGATGCAATGGCTTTTCGCTTTTGTGTCCACCCCAGGACTGCGTACTGCCACTACCATCCGGTGCACTTCCTCGGGCCAGACGACGACTTTTACCTTGATGATACCAGTAATCGGCTGGCTCGGTTCAACACGCTGTAGGGCGCTGAGAGCTACCCCGCTGCCGCCCTGACCGACTGCCTCCACCACCGCCACCTCCCCAACGGCCCTCACATCACCACGGGCCCGGACAGAGCACCGCCGTCTTTTCTCAGCCCTTTGTTCGTCCCGCTCACCTACCAGACGCGCGACATGGGCACTCGCGCGGCCTCCCACGCCGGCTCGTGGTACTCGGACGACAAGCAGACGCTGAGCGACGAGCTCGACGCCTGGCTCGCCGAGGTTCCCGATTCCGTGCAAGGTATCGGTCAACTCTCGGCGACGGAAAGCCCGTATTCATATCCTGTGCCGGATGCCAGGGCCATTATTGCACCGTAGGCTTTCGTGTCCCGAGACTTACTCCTTGACTAGCGAGGCTCATGAGACGCAGGCATGCTGGGTACGCGTACTCTGGCCCTACTGCTGCGTGGGCCTACAAGAGCATCAACTGGTCGACTGTGTAAGTTTCGTACCCTAGGCGTAAAGATCCGAGACTGACTGGCATACGTAGGAAGCGCGTCTTCCTCATCGGCCCCTCGCACCACAAGTACTTCGACCGGGCCGTCACTACCCAGATGGACAAATACCAGACCCCGCTCGGCGACCTGATCATTGACAAGGATACCGTGGACGAGATCGCGCATGAGTGGCAGATTGAGAGAATGAGCAAGCAGGTGGATGAGCGCGAGCACAGCCTGGAGATGCATTTGCCGTACATCTACAAGATGCTCTCGAGGTACGCCCAGCTCCTATTGATACACCGCTCTAGCACCTAACGCCACGCAGCCAGAACCCAGACTTCAACAAAGACCCGACTTCCACCAAACTCGTCCCGATAGTCGTTGGCAGCACCAGTCCCACCACAGAGCAAGAACTCGGCCGCCTCCTCTGCCCCTACCTCTCAGATCCCTACACCGTCTTCGTCATCAGCTCTGACTTCTGTCACTGGGGCCCGCGCTTCCAATACACGCACTACCAGGCCCCAGGCCAGCATGCCGTCAATCTGAAGAGGCACACGCCCAGAAATTACCCCATCCATGAGAGCATCAAGGCGGTGGATTTCGAGAGCATGGCAGCCGTGGAATCAGGCTCACATACGCAGTTCTACGAACAAATCGCAAATACTGCGAACACGGTCTGCGGAAGGCACCCCATTCTCGTCTTCATGGCGGCCGTGGAGGCTCTAAAGGGGGATATGGGCAGGTTCAAGTTTGTCAAGTATGACAGGAGTGGTTTAGTGACGGATGTGGAGGACAGCAGTGTGTCGTACTGCAGTGCTTTCGCCGTACTACAGTAAATGGCGAGGTCTACTACAATGCGTAGACTGCCGCCACCTTCCATAGGGCCGTATTAGAGCTAATTGGAGCCTCAGTCTTGCCACAAATGATACCTTTAGTATTTGCAACTGCCTGCCATATCGTACATGATACCATTATGATACACCCCAACTAACCCCTCTATATTACACACGTCATGTACAAACCCCACCCACCCACCCACCCTTACCATCAACGCTCCACCCCCTAATCCCCATGCAAAGCACTCTCCTCCATCGCCAAAACCCCCTGCTCCAGCTCGCGTATCCGGCCGCCCACCCTCCTCTTCACCTCCTCCGCCACCGCGCGATCCCCGCCCCCTAGCACCTCCTCATAGTACGCCAACAGCTTGTCCAGCTCCTCGCGCGCCGCTGCCCGGTCGTCGGGCGCGTACGTCGTGTTCTTCGCCGTCTCCTCGGCGGCGATCTCGAATTCGTCGGTTGCGGTGCCGTAGAGCTCGGTGATGTGCTCGATTGTGGCGGCGATTTGTTGGGCCGCGGCGGGGGAGGAGGACGGTGGGGAGGAAGCGGTGGGGTGGGGTGACGATGACGGTGGTAGTGGGGGGAACGGGCGTGGATGCGAGGATGTGAATGTGCGGGTGGAGGTTAGGGCGTAGGTCGTGCGGGTGTGGATCCAGTGCGAGTGCGCGGTAGGGGACGTGGAGGTAGAGGTGAGGGATGCGGTGGTTGCGGTCCACGGCGCGGTTGCCGTTGCGGTTACGGTGGTAGCGGAGAAGGTCGGATAGCGTGTATACGGCGGCGGGGGCGAGGGCGTGCGGCACGAGTAGCGAGAGTATGCGCGGGCGAACTGCGCGGGCGGTGTGCGGAGAGAGGGCGTGAGGGCTGTGGTGGTGGTGCGGACGAGGGCGCGCAGGTGGTGGTGCGCGGTTCGGGGCGGCATTGTTGCTTATCAGAGCCAGAGAGCGACTCGGAGCATGGAAAATGGGGTCTCGTGGAGATGATGCGGAACAATTGGCGGAAGCGGCACTTCTGTGGTGCGTGTGGAATCGAGATGGGATGCGATATGATGATGCAAAGGTTCCGAGACGCACCGGAGTTAGTGCGGGAGTGCGCTCGTTGGGGAAGGCGGTAAAAGCGGGCAGTACAGTCAATCTGTAGAGATGTTTGATGGATTCCCGGTCGTTGGGAAGGTGTCAGGGGTAGGTTTAAGTTGGCAAACAAATTGCAATAGGATCCTGACTGAATAAAAGTGTAAATAAGTTCAACCGCTTTGGCTTTTGTCAGACCCGCACTACCTGTTTCGTCACTGCCTGACATCGGGCCCAGACCCCCAGAACCCCACATCCCCACTCACCCCGCGGCACACACTAATTTTACCTAGGCGCTATCCCGTAGCCCCAGGCTCTCTGCACCAGCTCTCACAATCATCCAACTATATATACTGTAACCACGGAAAAACTATCACATGTTACAAATTTTGCATCACCGCGAGGGTAGTCTAGTGGTTATGATGTCTGCTTTACATTACTCAAGAATGTAATAGCGCAGAAGGTCGGGAGTTCGATCCTCCCCTCTCGTATACTTTTTGCCAATTTTTTGGTCTGGGTATATGGACTTTTTGCTGCTGGTGATGGGGTTGGGAGGGTTGTGTGCGTGTGTGGAAGGTTTGTGTGTATGTGTGCGGGTTGCAGTATCAACCAAGCACAGAAGCGAGGTGGAAGAATGTTTAACTACTGTTTGTTTTGTATTTTTTGTATCGTCAATTCGTCTAAATGCTACAGGTTCTAGAAATTATACGTATTGCTGCGCTGCCAGGATTTAACTCAATCCGGTGTGTGGATTATGTTAGAGAAACTCCACAGGCGCCCATGACACCACACACTACGACCAACTATCACGACTGCCGCGGGCCGGGGCGTGGGAGTGGATTGTGCTTTGCACTCCACGGCTGCAACGTCCTCCGCGTACCCAAAGTCCTCCGCTGAGGCGCAATTTGATTCTGCAACTGCCCCACCGAAGTGCTGTGGAATGTCGAGGCTGGTCGAAACCCGGATGTTTGCCTCGTGGGACTGGGAGCCTCCTTTCTGACCAACTCTTCGACATCTTTCGGCGGACCAGCGCCGCTATCGTCGACCGGTTTGACGGGAGAACTGGATAGGAGGATATATTTCGTGTTTTCGGCATCTGGTTCGGCTTCCGTTTTCTTCGGCTTGCCGGCCATCGGCGTGCTGCGCGGTCGGTAGCTCGAGAGGGACGGTGGCTGGTAAGGTAGCATAGGCCGCGATGTCTGGTTTGCCACGTTTGAGATATCGGTGAGTGGGTTGTGTTGTACAACTGAAGATTGGGAACGCTTCAGAGACGGGACCCGAGTTGCTGCTATGTCTGGCGCCGAGGAGAGGGTGCGACCGGGTCCCGTGAAGAAACTGGTGATGCTGCCCTGGCCTGCAGCGCGCGGCTTCACTGCTTTCGTGCGCGCAGGTTTTACTTCAGTGCGCTTGGCTTGTTCGTATGCTGCTTTGCCCGAGGCGGCGTCGTTTGCACTTGCGAGCATCCGGACTGCCTCTGCTTCCTGGACGGCTTCTTGAAGAACGCGAGCACTGGTAAATCCACCATTCCCGCTAGGCAGCGTCGTCGAGGCTATAGTGAAGCCAGTCGATTCCTGCATTGTTATAGAGTATTCGGTCAAGGAGGTTGTCGAGGCTTCTATCTTCCGGCGTTTGGATGATTGTGTTCCTCCTTCGCCGTTCGTTTTGGAGAATTTCCACGAAGTATCTTCACCATCTATTTCTTCTCGACTTGCTGGAAATTTATCGTCGTCTATGCGTTCTAACAGGGTCCCGGCAACCTGCACATCGGGTCCCGACGGACATGGACGGCGGAGAATCTGGGCCAAATCCTGTATGACCGAGCATCCAATCGACGGGCCCCGTTGGCTAAAGAATTTCTGGATGCTACGCGACGAGATGAATTTTGAGAGAGCCGTTTCTTCTTGACCGGATTGCTTGACAGGGCAGCTCAGGTATAAGAGTGCTTGTGCTCGGGTCATTCCCACATACAACAACCGCCGCTCTTCGTCGTGATCTTCGGCTCTTGAATGGGGGATCGATCCGTCGTAGACTGCTGGGATGAACACAATAGGCCATTCGAGACCTTTAGCCGCGTGTATAGTGGAAATTGTGACCTGGTTCGGTTCCTCTCCATCCGGTTTCTCTATTTCAGTGGAAAGCGCAACATTGGCCAGAAACTTCGACAGTATATCAGCTGCCGTGTCTTGCCGTTGCTCAATGCCTTCCACGACTGGCAACGCATCGTCAGAAACTTCTTCCCCGTCGGCTAGCGCTGCAGCCATCTGCGTCGCCTGCACCACTAGCTCCTCAACGTTCGCCCACCGCTCTTGCCAATTATCCTTATGTGTGCTCTTCAAGTAAGCTTCGAAAGAAATCTTCTGCAGAATATAGCTGATAAGGTCAAGTAGATTGCACTCCTCGTTGTCTGCTGGGAGGAGCTTCCGGCGTGAAGTGAGGATGATGTTAACGAAGGTGTCGATTCCCTGCTGTGCTGGCTTCGAGATCTTGCACTTGGGGGTACTCTTCCCTTGTGCGCAATCCAAGATTAGTTTCCAGAGAGTAATTTTGCGAACTTCCGCCTCTTCCAACATAGCCTTCACGGTAGTGTCACCAATCTTTCTGGACGGAAGGTTGATCACCCTTATAAGGGCATCATTGTGGTTTGGCTGGTTTATCACGCGCAGATAGTCAAGTACAATCTTGATCTCTGCGCGGTCAAAGAATCGCTTCCCGCCCACCATCCGATATGGAATGCCAGCCTTTCCAAGCGCTCTCTCGATGGAGAGTGACAGTGCGGCTGATCGAAGGAGGATGGCATAGTCACTGTAGTTCAACAGACCGGATGTGAGCGTTTTGGTACGATGTATCTCTTCCACGATCCATTGTGCTTCAATGTGCGCGGTCGCTAAATGACGAAGGGTAGGCTGCTCTCCGACACAGTGGGTCGCGATCACTGGCTTGTTGGGCCGACTCTCGTCCTGTTCTATGACCGCCATCGCTGAACTCAATATACATCCAGAAGATCTGTAATTGCGCTCCAGATTGATCACGACCGACTCGGGATAATCCACTCGCATACGGAGTAGATTCTTGATTTCTGCAGAGCGAAAGCTGTATATGCTCTGATCGGGGTCGCCCACGATTGTTACGCGCTTCATCTTCTGAGCCATAAGTTTCATCAACCGATATTGTACATTGTTGGTATCTTGGTACTCGTCGATCAGCACCGCTTGTATGCTCGAGACGGAGGCGGGGGCCTTTTCGAGAAGATCTACACATCGTAGGAGAAGGTCGTCATAGTCCAGCAGGTTCTCGACTTTTAACGTGTCTTCATATTCCGAGTATACGCATGCAAACTCATGCTGATCCACCTTCTTGGTGGTTGCGGCAAACTGCTCAGCCGAAATCCCCTTTGCTTTTAAGCCGGATATTCTGCCACGAGCCTGGGAAGCTTCGACGCCGTACTGATTCCGATCTATAATGCGCTTAATTATAGCCTTACTGTCTGATGTGTCGGCGATTCCGAAGTTCTTAGCGACACCTATCTCTTGGCCATATCGGACGAGGAAGCGCCTGGCGACCGAGTGGAACGTCCCAAGAATTAGTTTTGCCGCGACTTTGTCTCCCACCATGCCCTGTATCCGCTCTTTCATTTCACGCGCCGCTTTGATTGTGAACGTGCATACGATGATGTTCCATGGCTGGAGGCGTTCGTGATTGACGAGGTACGCGACGCGCGCCGTCAGTGTTTTCGTCTTTCCGGAGCCTGGCGGAGCTAGAACCTGGACGACCGAGGCAGGGCTGGTTACGGCGCTCTTCTGCGCGGCATTGAGGCCGTCCAGCAATATATCCATCGGGGTGGTTGGGCACGTAACGCGCGCATGCGAAGGTGTGGGGCGTTGGCTTCCCACCGCAGAACCTCGGGACGCGTGGAGAGAGCCGAATCACGTGGAGCGCTAGTGTGGCTTATGTAAGACAGTCTCAGTTTGGTTCGTTCCGGACCTCGGGAGTTTAGCACTCACACTTCAAACACTCACGCCTTGAAAATCATGTCGCTTTTCCAAAAAAAGCCTCGAAACACTTGACTTGTTCAATCTTTCTTATCGAAGCTGAACCGTTGACTGGCTACTCGGACTTCTCACATTCTCAATCGCAACACGCAACATCTGACGCGCCGTATTCTGTAAACCGACACCTCATCCATCCTATCTATTGACTGACTATCGTCATCATAAATCCATTTGCTCATCAACTTGTACCTGTGTCTTCCGGCTTGTTTCATCTTGCCAGAAACCTAGCGTTCTTTCAGGCCTCCTGGGCTCATCCAGATACGGCCGGCGTCGAACAAATTCTGCAGCCCCCTTGGCTTGTATGTACTCTGGATCGCGGTCGAAAATGAGAGGAACGACACTTTTGTCCCTGTAGAAGGTATGTAAAATGTCCTCTAGGACCCTTCGGAACGTGGGATCGGTTGAGTTCTCTCCAGCAAGTATAACCGCAGTAGGAGGTTGCGAGGCTTCGTGCAGCAAAGGTCGAAGCAGTACCTTTCGTACCTCTTCCCAGTAGTACTCTTCACTTGGATTATTGTAACGTTCATCGCTACCGAACTGAATACCCAGTGACGAATAATCGACGACGGCATATGCACCGGACGCGCCATAGGTTTCCGTATGATACGCCAGGAGACTGCTTCGTGTGTAATCGACAATATAGTAAGCCCCAATCGATACATTAGGGTCATCTGTTCGACATACCATAGGATGTGTGATGTTATGGCATATTGAAAGTCCGTGACCCGCCAAAGCAGCCGCAGTCCCGTAAGTCAGAAATGTCTGCTGATACCTGTACCCCATGATTTGGAGGTAGACTAGGCCAGAATATTCGAAAGAGTCGTACAAGTCCTCGTCGTAAACTCCGGGTATATGTGGTACTGATCCAGCCGCTTTCTCGATCTTGAAACCAGGGCTTTCCTCGGCTGCCTTCTTCAGAGCAACGACCAAAGTGCTAAGGTTGGCGACATCATCGGAAGCCGACAGACCTATGATTCATTTCTCAGCATATGCCGCAAGACGCTAGCATCGAGTATTTCTCATGCGCGAGGGATATGTCGTACCCAGAGCTTTACGCAGCTTTCGCTTCTGTTGACGGCGCCAATCTCCCCACCGCTCTCCTGGTGTGTTGTAAGGCGGTGCCGGATGTGTCGATGACCAAGTGGACATCCGTCGTAAGGTCTGTATATATTAGCTATTGTTGCGGCTTGCAATTCCTTTATTGTAAGTCTCATCTCTTGGTACTCTGCTTTTGCGTTCACCCGGGCTATACTGACCAGCGTACCGTTGGGATAGCTTATAGCCACCGTTCCGTACGAATGACCAAGATAGATCCCCACCCCAATCTCATCGCTGGACCTGGGTTCAATCGCTTGCGCCTTCCAAGTCGCCACAGCGAGAACATAGATTGGAAGAAGAAGCATCATGTAGCGAACCCGAAAGCCAAATAATGCCTATACAGG